CACCACTGTAAATTTGTCCTATCAATAGATGTATATATGTTTTGTCCGTCACATCTCAGGAATAACAGTATTGTAAATTCTTGGGGTGTGACAAAATCGATTAAATTGAGAAAAAAAAAAAAACAGTAGAATTTTTTTTTCACAGACATCACTGTGTTCATCTAAAAAATCAAGCTGTAATTGAGTAAATTAAATAAAATGAATATGGTAAATGATAAAAGACACGATAAATATTTAAAACCCTACAGATGTAACTCATTATTTTCAAAATATGGACTGAAATTGATCAAATGACGGAAAAAAAAAAAAAACCCAGAGTTCTTACTTGATTTCGTGAACCCGTAGCTTCAATATCCAAATTACTCTGTTTTTTTCAAATATTATCACAAATTCGTAACAGAATTTTTTGATGAGCACATTTACGATCAAAATGCCTAAAAATTGTTACAGATTCAAACCCTATTTGGTATGAAACATAAGGAAAGGCGGAAACTCAAAAACCGCAACTTTCATGATCCAAAAACACGAAATTTCTCCACCATTTAATCCATGAAAAGGCTGAAAAAAGCTGCATAAAGCCTGAATATTCGATCACATGGCAAAAAAAACAAGAAAAATGATAAAAAAAATGACAAATTTTGAAGAATCCCGTGAAAAACACTGTGCAGCCCGTATTCTTCACGGGATTTGCCGATTCCGTACAGTGAATCGGCAAGTCACTGTACAGAATCGCCCCGTTTTCTCTGGAACAGGACGATTCCGTGTAATTTGCCGGAACCGACATGTCCATTGCCGATTCCCGAGTCGAACCGGGCGAGTCCGGTTCGACTCGACGTTTTTTTAAACACTGGTTTAAAGTTTGCCATATCCAATTTGGGAGAAGCATATTCCCATGTGACAATGGAAGGAGATTATCTGAACGCAATTAAGTGATGCAACTTCCCATCCGTTCCTTGGAAATTTGTGGATACTTGGCTGAAATTCTCCTGACGCTCAGAGAGCAAACCATCGCCTTTTTGCCTATCAACTCTTTAGCTGATTCTCAGATAAAGGAAGCCACCGCACCTCCCCAAACCCAAACCCAGCCTCCTTCACTTCTTCTTCCCCTCCTACTGCTTCTCTATTATTTCTGCTCTTTCTTCTCCTTTCTAACTTCATGTCTCACGCTCACTATTTCTCTCTGTCGCCCTTGGTCTATCTATGTCCTATGTATTTCTCTTTTTTTCTTGTTAACCTTCTTCTCTAGATCGAGACAAGGTTAGGACCCCTCTAGGGGCCGGGCTCGGGCTCGGGTCTGTTGCCAAACCTAGGGTTATAGTGCAACTATCATAAATTTAAAGAACATTAATGAAATTTGAGGCTTAGTAACGATCTATCTTGCATTTTTTAGGAGTACTTATTTCAATGGGACTTCCTACAAAGAGACCATCTACTTTTTGCATATAGAGGTCATAACCATTTTGTCTTTTAGATTTCAAAATTTGTGTTTGTAAGAGTGCCATTGGTTAGACATAAAGTTTTAAACAAAAATTTCTCAGACTTTGTGACTCACCCCAAACCATCCAATTTGACATCTAATGAGTGGGAGTAGTTCTGACCTCAATATACAAAAGGTAAGTGATATCTTTGTAGATAATCACAACTGGTTTTCAATGATTTAAGATTAGGTATGGTTTTTATAAGGTTTCAAACTTAAATAATCTAATTAAGGCACACCTCCAAATTTTATCATAACATGTAATTTTGGTGAATTTTTTTTTAAGATTATTTCAAAATTTATTTTCATATCTAATTATAAAATTTTAAACTCCAAAAATAGTTAAAATCAAGCATATCTATAAATATATGAAAATCTTGAAAATCGATAGTATAGATAATATATTACAAGATGCACTATTGTTGGGACTCCAAATCTTTTTTTTTTTTTATTAGAAATTTTTTCAATATTAAAACAAATTTTTTCTATAAATTTTTGAAATGTATCTATATAATCTTTTTCATTGTTGTTTCAATTCCAAAACCCTAAAGAGATGACTCATCAGGAACTTTTCCCTTACTAATTTCGTAACTACCACAATCATTTGAGTCAGGATGAACACATATAAAGTAGGCAGGTGCATTTATAGAGAGCAATTTATTATTTATAACAAACGTGTCGACTATTGAAAGCAAAATTTCTTGACTTTTTTAAACTAACTGAAAAAGCATTTAAGAAAGGGTTCAAAAAGTATTTACGTATAATAATCAGGGGAAAAAATCTACCCCAGGTTCTCTAATAACTATGTTTTTAGTATCGAATAAAAATTTGTAAAACAACATTGAAACTAATCAAAGATGTGTGCGGTTTGTATGGAATCAAGGCTCTAAACAATCAAATTAGAGCCCACCATCAAATAGTATCGAGAAATGTGATTTCAATTCTTGAAATCTTTGACTAACCCTAAATATATTTTCATCTTTAATTATAAAATTCAAAACTTAAAAAATAATGTAGATCTAGAGTATCTAAAAAATAGATTTCTCAAAAAAAAACTTTTCTTTCAATATGTTTTTGATGTCTGCCTTACTTCTGTAATATATATTTAACACCTTATATAAACTTTTCCTGTATAAATCGGAAAAAGGTAATGGTGGCCGCAAGGTCTCATTTTGAGTTACCATCACCTCCCGTTGCTGCTCCATCCACTTATTGAACGTTATAAAAAAAAAAAAAAAATTGTGTATATATGATAAAGAAGTGTAAATTTTTTATATAAAATTAAAGATATGAACTTATCAAGTTTTGTTGGGTTTTTAGGCTAACGGGAAGACACCGTCCCTATGTGAATCTCTATCTCATACTTGTGTCAGTGTCCATTTAATACTAAACAAGACCCTCTAAGAGTGTTTTTTGGGCACTAAAATTTGGTCCTCATGAACCCATCATCCAACCAGGACAAAATAAAAATAAAAATTAAGGCAATATATGTCAAAATTAACCTCCTAAGATCTGGATTAATAAGAGAATATCTAACTATTGTATTATCAAATCCAAGCATTTAAATACTTAAATTTATTTATTTTTCCTTTAAAATATTCTAATGGTGATTGTAAACTGGATCCATTAGGAGCCATTTTCCCTGAGGGAATAACTATATACTCTGCTCCCACGCGGGAGTACACTAATCATGCTGGTTTTAACTTGTAAGGTGTAGAGCCAGTCAACCCATTAATCAGTCAACCCGCGTTGAATTACCGCGGGTCTACGCACACCTACTCCTGTCGTGCGGAAAACTCTCTCTTGGTCAAGACACCCACTCTTTCTCTCCTCTGTCACAAGACACGAGTTGGCTCTCCAGTGTCCATCTTCATCTTGTTCTCCTAGGGGCCAATGGACGCGACCTCGGGTCCAAATTTTGGATTCAAAAAGTGAGGTCCGGGTAAAAAATATTGACCCGAATACTGTTAGGGTCAGGTCCATCTTAAACTCCCATGTTCTCTCCAGGGGTGAAAATGGATGGGAGGTCTGGGCGGGTATAGGTCTAAATTGTGGATTCAAATGGTTGGTTGCGGGTCAGGTCGGGCCGGACCCAATGTGTTTCCAACCCTTATGTAATGTGGGACACACGCAGGCTGGTGTCCTTTCACTCTATTATCGGCGACACGTAATAGCGATGGGCATTGCTCTCAATCTACTTAAACTTTTTCGAATTGAGGCGCACCGACTCGCTGCTCTCTTTTTACTCCCTCCTATTCTCTTTCACTCTCTGAAGCTCCGTTGTCTCCCTTTAAACCACCCTCGTCCCCCTCTCTCTCTCTCTCTCTCTCTCTCTCATTTGCAGAGGTGGAGTTAACCTCGCCAAATCTCCACTCGAAAACCCTCGACAATGCGGCCTCCACTACTGGCAGCGGCCCTACTAATCGCACTCCAAATCTCAGCCACCATGGCTGAGACCTGCCCCTACGACATCCCATATGCCGCCACCCTCATCCCCCCCTCATGCTACCGCAACTACTCAGACCCTGCCACCATAGCCCCCCAGACCAGCTGCTGCTGGTTTGTGTTCGCCTCCTTCATGTATGCCGTCATCCGCCATGCAAACTCATCCTCCGTCGCATTGTTGCCTGAATACTCCGCCACTTCCTGTGTCACGGCCTTCTCTGGCTACCTCCTCCGACAAGGCCTCGTCCGCCCCTCCCTGCTGACCTCAGACTCCCGCTGCTCCTTCGAAACTTCGGACCAATTCGTCGCTGGTAAAAGGGCGTGCCAGTACTCTACCATGGCCGAGCTCAATTCCTTGTTGAATCTTTCCTCGGCCTCCAGCAAGTGTCTCACACGTGAACTCGCCGTGAACCAGAGCTCATGCTCCGCGTGTCAAAACTCCATAATCTCCCTGACACTCGGCTTGTTAAACACCACTAGAAGCAAGGAATTTGTGCCTTGCGGAATGGCGGCGACCATCGGAATATGGGCTCAGCTGCCAGAACTTGAGCTTTTCCGCTCGTTCGTTCTCTGCATTTTACAGGTACTAGAGAACATCGGCGTCCTAGGAACCAGCAATCTCGTCCCGTCTCCACCGCCTCCATCTGCCGGAATCCAACTCCCGACCTCCGGAAAACACCACCGGAAAATATACATCGCGGCCTTTTCCGCCTCCGCAGCCTTCGCCATAACAGCCAGTGTGATTCTCTTCCTGGTCTTGGCCAAACGCTTTCGAAAGCCCAAAACTGTGATGGCTCCTGGGTGGGGCGGTACGTTTACCGGAGGGGATTGGGCCGGAAGCTCGCCGGAATCTCCACTTCCGACGGAGGGCTTCTATGTATTCACGAAAGCTGAGCTAACGACAGCCACCAATGGGTTTGACCGGAAATTGTTCCTCGGAGAAGGGGGAGCCGGAAAAGTCTATTTAGGGAAACTTCCAAGCGGTCAAGAAGTCGCCGTGAAAAGGATTTCACATCAAAGGAAAGTGGGTCAGTTTTACCGCGAAGTCGAGCTCTTGGCGAAATTTCGGCACCGAAATTTAACTGCCCTCTTGGGCTACTGCCCTGAGAAAAAGGAGCCCCTCTTGGTGTACGAGTACATGCGAGGGGGCAGCCTCGCACGTGCAATGAATCAGGACCGTCTGTCGTGGAGGCATCGAGTGAGGATCGCCGTTGATTGTGCTGAGGGATTGGCTTATCTCCATGACTTTCATAACGGCCCCGTTATACACCGGGACGTTAACCCCACAAACATTCTCCTGACGGATTCAGGTGACGCCAAGCTTTCCGATTTCGGCGTGTCCAAGTATCGACCTCTCGGTGTCACTCACGTGTCGACTGAGGTCATGGGTACAGCCGGGTATTTGGATCCGGAGTATTTTTTCGGCGGGCACGTAACGGAGTTTGCTGACGTGTACAGCTTCGGGGTTGTTATGTTGGAGCTCTTATGTGGACGGAAAACGTTAGAGACGCCGTCGGGAGGGTTGGAGCCGTTAGTTGGCGAAGCGCACGTGTGGGAAGCACCTGAAAATTTGGCCGGAAGAAGAGCAATTCAGCGAATAGTAGACCCGAAGCTAGGGCCCGAAATAAACGAGGTATCGATGGGGGAGTTTCTGAGGGTGGCTTGCACGTGCGTGAGGCGACAGGGAGACCAGAGGCCAACGATGAAACAAGTGTTAGACTCTTTGCTGGGGATTTTGAAGGGGCTCGAGTCCGAGGGGTCACCGGGTAATTTAGAAGTTCTGACTTTAAAGTCGCCGGAAAAGGCAGAGGTCATAAGTGATGGGATCTCTATCTCGTCTACAATGTCTCCATAAGTGGGCTTTGAGCATGGTGAATGCTGTATCCTGATTACTTACTTTCGCATCTAACAGCTACAAGTAAATATGATTATCTTCCACCGAATCAATCATAAACCATCTTATTGTATATTCAATAAAAAATAAAATAAGTAGTTTTTTTATATTGAAAATGGAGAGTTTAATGTAATTAAAAATAGGGTATTGCATATGTCCATATATTTTTTGTATATTGTCATATTTATTTGTAATTAAGGTAATGAATGTCATAATGGTAGCCGATCCTCAAATAGTTGGGATGATTTGATTCTTACAGGGAAAAATATACAATAAAATTATTTACGTTTGGTACAAATATGTCAAGTTTATCTATAATCCAGCTGCCTAACGTATTTCATTGATCATGCTCACAGTATGAAAAAACCCAAATTCGTTGAATACAAGTGGTAATCCAGCTGCCTGAGGTATTCCATAGCACTAGTGGAACATTTGCTCATTTACTTTGCCTGTCATTTCCTATATCTTTCATTATTAGCTGTAAAAAGGTGTCTACGGGGTTGATCAGATGTCTTTATCTCCTTTTTCATCTAAGTCAGCTGTATACGTTTATGTTGGTACATTCTTGTTGATTCAGGAAAATTGTTCAACATTTTACTCATTTACAACTATTTCAACTTATATGTCTTTTTTAGGGTTTTTTAATATTAGTTATTAAAGGGTCAAATAATTAGTTTCTTGAGTAGTTTTATAATAAATTTTTTTTGAAAAACTCTACAATTATTCGTCTTGACCTCGAGATGCATGGATATGAAAGAAAAAATGGATTTTAAATCTTAAAGATAATACATCTTATAACACATTATATTAGATTGTCTATTTTCAACATTTTGGAGTGCTTATAAATCTATTTGATTTATATAATTTTTGGAGCTTTAAATTTTATAATAAAAATAAAAATACATTTTTTTAGCTATCGTAAGGGTCTCCGATAGTACCTCAATTTATGTGCTCTATTTCACTATAAAAGGTCAATAGGGAACTTAAATGTTCCATGTTCCCTATTATAGTATTCGTCTTTAATTTCATATTCCTTAGTGCCTCTTGAATGACAATTACTTTCTTTTAAGTCCAATTTCTTTATTGCCATATGATTAAATTTAGAACAAACAGAGGCGCTTCAAAGCCTGTGCAGGTTCTTACCACTAAGCTTCTTTTGAAACCAAGTGTATAAGGCATTTTATTTTTCTGTTTTATTTTCTTAATTAACTATTGTTGGGTGTTGTAACTCCATAAAAATGATTGTCAAATCTCCCCAACAAAAACATACGAGCATGTATACTATGCTGCCTCGAGAGCATAGCTTATTTCTATTCCCTCCGTCTGAAGACTTATTTGGGAGGATTTTTTCGATCTTAAATTTTGAGAACCATCTATGAATCATTGCATGATTATTTATTATTATTATTTTTTGGGAATTTGAGTTTTCTAACACTTAGTTTTCATCATCTAAAAATTGAATGATCTTTATTCAATTTGGAGATTATTTCATATGCATGGAGGGTGCAACAACAAATTCTTTTGTATTGAAGTTAATATATGGATGAAGATGTTACATCCCAAAATTTGAATTCCTAAAATTAATTATAGGTAGGATTTTATGGAGGGAGAAAAATAGAAAATAAACTGCCCAGTTTATCGAGATGATCGAATTGAGGATTTTTGAGCTTCAAAACAACCTCTTCGAATGAAATTTTGATGTGCACTTTAATTTGACTGTTAATTTTGATGTGCACTTTAATTTGACTGTTTAGAGCCAAACTTTTCCAAAGATTTAATACTCTCAAAGGAATGTAACATGCATTTACTCCCTCAATGTAAAAGAAATTTTGAGACCAGATGCAACCTAAGTGAATATTTTTTTGAATTGAACTAGAAAAAAAATAATATCCCAAAATTGACCGGAGATCGTCCAATTTTAAAGGGCAATATGTGTGTCAAAATAATAAATATTCAAAATATTTATTTTGAAAATGATTATCTATGAATTTAGGTACGTCCCAAAATCTCAGACTCAAAAAATACTTGCGAATAGGTCATCTGAGTGACGAACTATATGACCAATAGGCTCCTGCCGGAGTACAATATACGAACTGTTATTTCGGTCCTCAGCAGTTCTGGGACAAAAATGTCCTGCTCAAACAAAGCTTCTAAACCAAGACTCTTGAGAAATTCAAACAATTATCAGGGGTATTTTTGTCAATGTCCAAAGGGGATAAGGTTATCTCTCTGTAGATGTCGCACTCAAAAGAGAGGGAAAAAGGATGGAGAGAGAGAGATCGCCATTAAAATCCTCTGTTTTTCACACTCTTAGAGAGAGAAACCCACTCTTGGAAGAGAGAGAAAGGGACAATGGCGCCTCCATCTACGCTTCTGTTGCGCAGCTGCTCCTGCTTGGCGCTGAGCCACCCGCCGGGGCGGCGCCGTGCCTCTCCGCTCGCTCCTCCTCCTAATCCATCGACGATCGTTGCTTCCTTCTCCTGTTATAACAAGACTCATCAGAAGCTTTTTAGCAAAAGTGGTGGCTCGGCTCTGGCCTCCATCTCCGGCTCAGCGAACCGGAGCCGAGCCCTGGCTGTAGACTCTGATCAGCGTGGCTCAGCCGTTGCAGTTGAAACGGTAAGTCTCTCTCTCTCTCTCTCTCTCTCTTCTGTGTTGATTGTACTTGTTTGTAGAGAGAGAAATTTTGATTGTGGTAATGGGGTTTGAGGCAGACCCAAACTACCCATTAATGGTTGTATCCATGTAAGAATTAGAGAGAATTCAGAGAGAGAAAGTGGTCAGTCTCTCCTGTGTTAATTTTACAGTATTTATACTTGTTTGTAGAAAGTGCAATCAATGGGGATGCCATTGCTTAACTAGCTATGCCTTCACTCTCTCTCTGTGAGAGAGAAAGTAGTCTCTCTATGGCTTCTGTGTTTATTTATTATACTTGTTTTTTAGAAAGGGAAATCAATGATAATTCTCATGGGTTTTGCTATTACTAAGCTAGCTAATCTATCAGATTTCAGTTTGGATAGTTGTAAGCCATTGTGACCACATGTATCAAAGGTAAATCATTTTTTATTTTTATTTATTTTTAATTATCAAGGATTATTGAAAACCTCTCTCTCAACACATGATCTTCTTTTATTTATAAAATGGTTGGAATTTGTATGATTGCTCTTTGTTTGGAGCAGTTGTTTATTATAAAATGGTGTGTGTAATTAAGATTAAATTATTATTTTTTGTCATGCTACTAGGATCGGCCTGAGTTCATGATTTTTGTGGACATGTCCATTGTATGGCCCCCGACAGAAAAAATATATGGGAACTTATGGACTCACCAAGGGTATGACCCTTAATGACACCGATAAACTGACAAAATTCGTGTAGTCAACCCTGATTAGTTGGAAAAAAGATTTGACTTATGAAAAAAAAGATATAATGTGAGACTATTTATATATATGGTACAAGAGGATTACATTTGCCTGTAGCTATTAGTTGTCAAATGCAATATTGGCGACGAATTAGGCAGTTTGATGAAATCTCTTGAGAATTTGAGGTGAATCAATGGCATATCCCTAGACGACAACAGATTTCATATCTAACAGCTAAAAATGATCGTAACTTGCTTCTATTTAAGATAAATGATCTTATTACGTATTTTCGCCTTAAAAAAGGATGGTTTTAAACATAGGTACATTTTCAAGTAGGTCACTTGTAAGTTGTACCTAATAGGTTCCCATTGATGAGTTTCCTTTTTTTTTCTTTTCTTTTTTTTTAATATTAACCATGGATTTCATTGCAATAAAGAGAAGCACGTAGATAATACAATTACATGAAAGCTAAAATCACCAACGATGACTGGTGAAACCACCAGCCTCAAAGTTACCCTATCTATACCCTCAAACAATTGGGTGAGTCTAAGTGGAGTCCTTGATTTGGATTTTGGAGAAAGTTCCTTGTTTTCTATATTATTTGTTTATTAAATTGAATTTCAGGAGAAGAAGGCAGTCAAATACCATTTTGTGGTGGCAAACGCAAAATTCATGCTAGATGAAGAGGAACATTTCAAAGAACTTTTGTGTGAGAGGCTTCGACTCTATGGGGAGAGGCAAAAGGAGCAAGACTTTTGGCTAGTCATTGAACCTAACTTCTTACAAAACTTTCCCAAGCTCACTGCTCGATTGAAACGCCCTGCTGTTGCCCTTGTCTCAACAAATGCTACCTGGATCACGTATACATATTAATCTCTCTCTCTCTCTTTTATTATATATATATATATATATATATAACGCCTATAGGCGAAAACAAACAGTATTTTCACATATAGGTTCGCCACCCCTATTGTTTTGAACAGTGGGGAAAAATCGACCGCAATATGTCTGTTGTGGTATCACCACGGATATAGTTGGTCCGCGGCGGTTGATTTTTCACATTAAACCGCAATGGACATATTATGTATGTTATTGGGGCGAAAACACTATTCACTTCGCCTATGGGTGTTGGAAAGTGTTTTTCATATTTATTATTTTTATTTTATTTTTTTGAAAAGTTATTTTTTGAGTCCGGAAATGCATGCTTCCTCTGAACATTGAACATCCATATGAAGATGGATGGTAGAAGAAAAAAACGTAAGTAAATGTTTCAAAAAATTCAAAACATACATTTAAAATTGAAAATTTTAATTTTTTTCCATACTTGAGATCATCATGGCCTAGATCTTGAATCTCTTAAAAATTTGGATCTAAAATCCATCTTTAAGATGGACTTTAGAGGGAGGACGCACATGTTTATGGGAGTCGACGACTTATAGAAACAACCCAGTCCATGTGCGTGTGTGTGGTTGGGTTGGTGGGTGGTGGGCTTCATGGAAAAATCCGATTTTTATCTAAATTTAAAAATTCTCCTTTGTTTTATATATTTTATGCTAAAGCCCCCCTTTTTAAGGGCGCATGTTGTAAATTAATTTTGTATTTTCTGCCACATTGTATATATTTTTCAAGTTTTGAGTGGTAAATATTTCTCATCATCATGCACCTATAAAAAAATACAAAAAAATTATTTTAATTATGAAGTAACCATAATAGCCCTAAAACTTGAAGGGATATTTTGATGATTTTATTTTAAATTTTTGTTTTGAGTTTTGACTTAGAACTTAATTATAAAAAAAGAAAGAAATAAAGTTCATACATAGAACTTAAATGCCAAATCTCATTGCCTTCCATGAATTGATTTCATGAAGGAGAATCGAAACTTCTTATGAGTTATGAACAAACAATGAAAATTGAAAATTACTCCAATTTTCTGTTGTGCTTGTAACTTTGAATCATTTACTGCAATCTTTTTAAACTTTGGGAAAATACTTGTTATTCACTCAAAACCAAAACGATGAGAACTTAAAATTTCTTCATTTTTGTTTGTCTCATTTGTCGGTTATCTTGTACAGGTTTATGAAGCTAAGATTAGACAGAGTTTTATCAGAACAGTTTGAAGCTGAGAGCCTAGAGGAAGCTTTGGCCTCAAACCCAGTCGATCTCAAGTTCGAGAAACCCGAAAATTGGGTGGCTCCATATTCCAAATATGAATATGGATGGTGGGAGCCATTTTTACCACCCCAAGCAAGCAAAAAAGATGCATAAAATCTCCATTTTTTTACCTGGTTCTAGTTATTTTTGCTAATGCACTTTGAGGAAGTTAGGCAGAGCTTATAATTATAGCTTGTAAGTTATTTGTCCGTGTTCCATGACATAGAGCATAGTGGTAAGTGAAACCAAGGCTGCTGGTGAATCACAAGGGTTACTTTGGTCGGTTTTTCTTAATATGAGAGTTATTTTCTAATGCGTAAAGTTTTCGGTAAGATTATTTATCTTTGCTACACAAAGGTTATAATCACCCCTAACCATTAAATTGCAAATTGGGTGTCTGAGGGCATGAGACAGGGTGCCCTCAAACCTCAAGAAATTTTTTTTCGAGTGATGTGCAGATACAAGATATACCACTGGCTCCTGATTTCACATATGGCACTAGATGTTTATTACATTTTGTACTAAAGGAAAGCGGGTTTATAGCATACAATCCTCTTTACTCGTTTATTGGGATCTTTAAAATGTATAAGTTTTCTGATCAAGGAATATAGCAATCTATCTTCACAGAGGCTGAGTGATGCTCAAACCTATACATTCCTAATTGTAAAAAAAGAGCATAAGAGGAAAATGAGAGGACCAAATACAACAGTGTGTGGGCTAAGATTCGAAATGGAGCTGGGTAATGGGGCTGGGGCATCGGTGGTTAGGGGGCGAATGCCTCGCTCAAAATAACGTACCATCCTCATATTTTCAAAATAAAAAAATAAAACTAGAGCAAGACAGAGCTCATGGCACTCACTTTGCTCCTGTATTGCTACTTATAGAGCTGAAACTCCAAAAATGAAAACTCTATCCTAATGAATTGTGGAACATCATCAGATGTAATTCCTAATAACCTAAAATATCAACCAAGGGAAAATTTTGTGGTCCATGCTAGAACTTCTTCATTTGAGTCAGTTTGGTCTGCGCCCCGAGGGATATTCTTCCAGCTGATATGTTCTTTTCTCCCCTGTTTGTAAATCTTTACTATTTAGGGGTGTTGTCGACGCAAAGTGACAATTACTTTTAGAAATATTGCCAATGTTTGTTTGGGCCATGGTGAGAATGGAATTCTAGATGCCTGCAGTTGTATCTACCGTCCCAACCACCTCTGATTAGAGAGCCTGTTATTGATAATATGTAATATTCATGCACAAGTGGGGGGAGATAATGGTAGAAAATCCATTTAAGAATTCATCCAAAGTGGCCATTAAAATGAATGCATCGAAGTACATATTTCAACAGTTGTTTGTGCGTGTCATCCTTGCGCAAGGCCCATGCCAATCTTCTATGTATCATTCCAATTTTTACGATGTCTCCGAAGAGGACATTTTTTCAACAGGTGGGGGATGGGTATTGCACACCAAGAGACAGAGACTCACAGAGAAAATAGAAAGATAATATGAGCACGAAGAGAATAGAAAGATAATATCAGCACACACACAGACACAGACTCATACAGAGGGAGGATTCTTGAGTATGGCGGTATCTCCGGACCTATTTGTACATTTAATCTGACAGCCAAAACACCTTGGATACTTGGCTGAACTGATAATTTATAAAACAAATTTTAGTGCATCCTGAAGATCATATCAAATAGTAAGAGAAAAAGGAAAAAAACGATTTTAAGATTAAAATTCTTAAATTTTTTATATCTGGTATCAATTAATTTGGATAATCCAATTAAAGTTAGGAATTTGGTTGAGGCTTAATTAGTTAGCAGTTGATGTTTGAAATGCAATGTCCTAGCCTCGATTCCTACTGCTTGCTTAGTCCAGAAAGAGCAATTCAATCAAGTTTTGGAGGGGATTTCCATAATGGTACTTTTTGAGCTCCAAAATCTTTCATTCAAAAAGAAAAAGAAAAAAATGAATTTTGGGGTCCATCAGATCACACCACAAAGGTGTTCGGCCCGTAGGACCAAGTGAACAATTTATTTCCTTGGGACCATGTAATGTTTTTTTTTTCCTTATACTTATGGTTTTTCTGAAGGAAAGGGAAAAAATTATATAGAGCCCTCTAAACAAGCAAACTAGAGCCTACTTCAAATATTTCACTAGAAGAGGTTGTTTTGATGTTCAAATATCGTCAATTGATCATCTCGGTATCAAGATGCATGTACATGAGAAAAAAATAGATTTTAACTTTTAGAAGCATTGCATCTTGTAACATAATTTTGGACCGTCGATTATCAAGATTTTCAAGTGTTCATAGGTCTACTTGATCTACACTATTTTTTAAGCTTTAAATTTTATAATTAGAAATGAAAATATATTTTAAGATTATTACAAAGATTTACCGTATTGAAATTATATTCCCTGACACTATTCGAACATAGGCTTTACTTTGATTGTTTAGAGACTCGGCTCTATACAAACCTCACCCTTTCTAAATGATAGGAATATCCATTTTGAAATAAGATCAAAATTACCTCATTTGGAAGCTTCCCACATGGACCGTGTTTGGATAGGATAAAAAATTTTATGGGGTAGGATATAATAATCTAGAAGAAAAGACGGGGAGAAAAATAAAAACAATAAGGGACTTGAAAAAGATAGATTTCAAGCCCCAAAATAATATTTTTTTGTAACATGTTTTTTTATAGACTATATATCCAGGTACTCATAGATTTGTCAAATTTGCGCCACTTTTTTTAGCTTGAAATTCTATAATTAGGGATGAAAATTTATTTACCGGTCATCACAAGATTTCTCAATGATGTGGTTGCATTTTTCAATAGGGTTTTGGGTTGCGGTATCACCAAATTTTGTAAATCAATTACCCCATGAATCAAGCTTTGGGAAAAAATATTCTACATTCATCATGTGATAACCACAATAAGTGGAAATTACTTAACAAAAGACCGCAACTACAAAAGGATCGGCCTCTTGGCTTAGTGGTAAGGGTCAGGATCATGGCCCTAGCTAGAACTTCCTCAATAAAAATTGCAAATATAAGGGGGTCGGCATCTTGGCTTTAGTGATGTTAGTTCCCTCTCAACTGTCCGATTCAGATTAATCGACTGTAAGTCTTTAAAAATATTTAAGTCATATTTATGTTTGAAAATACAAAAAAAGCTTCCAATATTTTTTTGTACTTCTTTTACCCTTTTTTTATTTACCCAAATCCTTTTGTCAATAATTTTTTTAGTTAACTTAGTTTGGCAACTCCTTGGGTTAGACTTTCCTTTGACATCGTGTTAGGGTTACTAGGATCTGACCACTAAGCTAGGAGCCAAAAAAAGAAAACAAGGCCAAATTGATTTCCACCATAGATAAAGTACAGAGCTCAAGGTTTCAAAGTTTGAATCAAACTTTGACGTTTGAACTTGGAAATATAGCCAAAGACCTGAGGGCATGGTCCTCACTGTGTTTTAAAGCTCACAATCGGGTTTTGGATTGCCCACCTGGTGAAAACCCCGTTAAAAATAAATAAATAAAAATTGGGGGAATTTTGAGGGAAGGGACCCAAATGGTGCACCCACCAAATATGATTCGGATTGGCAATTCACGGTTCGGATCTCCAAGTTTTAAAATAAATCGTAGACTATAGTTTATATTTTTTGTGGAATGGGAACTCCCACTCTAACATGAGCAAATTATAAGCTTATCCACTCTAGAAGGAGATTGGGCTGGGAATGTCATATTTTGTTATGCGTGCTCAAATGGTTTTTTTGCTCCAAAGTTTGAAGATTATAAAAGACAAGGTGATGGGTTCGGTATGTACGGTAGAAGGGGATTCTTTAAATACCATTAAATGGTGTAAGAGTGAGCAAAAGGTACTATAGCAATTGAAGCAGTGTTGGGTGCAAATTATGGACTTGTTTTGTTTAGAGTTTCATGTCTATAGGGAAGCAAATGACCCGGTAGGTGCTCTAACAAAAAATACGTCCGACTCTATCCTATGTGGTGATTTTTGATGATGTAACCGTGTTGTTATGATTTGATTTTCGTAATTCTCTGATTTAATAATAAAATGCTTTAAATATTGTAAAAAAAATACTCACTTAGGCAAAAAGCCTATTTATATGATTTTTTTAATGATAATATTTAAGATCCAATTTAAAATCACCAAATTTAATTTTTATCAAAATTTTTGGAATCTACTTTTAGAAAGATAAATTTAAATTTTGAGTTCTTAACATTACCTGATCGTCTTTGGAAGGTCTTCAATATTAAAACATTATTTTTCGAAACACATATAGAGCATGCTTGAACATGTAGTGTTGATTTCCTTTGAGAGGTAGATCACAAGAGACTATTTGTCAGAAAAGTCCAACTGAATGGTGATCCCATAGGTGAGAAACGACATTATTTCCTTCCCCAACTCCCTCTCTCTCTTCTCTCTCTCTAAGAAGAGAGAAAAACTCCCCAACTAGTTCATGCTCCACAAATCACGTTTGACGGCGCCTCAAAATTGCTTTAGATCGAGAAAAATTTAAATGTTTCTACTCGCTTAGTTTTATAATTTAGGTGATTGTAACGTTCTTGTATCCAATAAAGACTAGGAACAATATATCAAAGGAAAAAATGTATATAAGGATGCAACCTTATAAAGTAGATTTACGGATGCATCTAAAAAAACCCGTTGAAAAATATAGTTTTAATGCTTAAAAACCCTTTCATTGATCATCTCTTCATGGAGATGTATGACCATGAAAAATAAAAAGATTTTAAATCTAAAAAATAGTGCATTTTACAACATATTATCTACACCGTCCATTTTCAAGATTTTCAAATGTTTATAGATCTACTTGATTTTAACATTTTTTGAAATTTAAAATTTTATAATTAGTTATAAAAATAGATTTTGAGATAATCCTAAAAATATTTTACATCAAAATTATATATCATGATAAAATTTGAAAAAAAAAAGGAGGCATCCGTATGCGAACTGCACCCTATATCAAAATTATACTATGTTCACTGGGGAATATTCGATATTTGGTCCCGCCAAACATCGCTTCGACAGGCGGAGCAATTAGTGTGGTCGGTGTCTTATGTGCATTAACATGTAAAGCACATATATTATGTTCATGCGGGAGCATACTGTTTATCTACGCCTTTGGGGAAAAAATCCACTTTTGGATAATGTTTGTCAATCCAAAATATTAAGAATGCATAAAAATCAATAGATGATTAGTTCAAAAAAAAAAAAATTGGTTTGAAGTTTTCTATCCCATATATCTCACCTTCAAAATTTTGAACGGTCTATGCTCAAT